AAACTTAAAACCCGGGGGGTGGGGGGGGGGGGAATGTGGAGAAGGGGTGGGGGGGGGGGGGGGGGGGGGGGTAGTGGGCAGAGATATAGCACAGATGACTGGCTGATAAATTCACACTCATTCCAGCAGCTGTCTGGGAGAGTAAAGTGCCTGTATCTCTACACATGGCTGCCCTCCTGTTCCCGCATCACAACATACTGAATGAAACAGTCTGAGGAAAATACAGACCTTCAAAAAGTCTGTGCACTCTCCGAGGGGATGTACAATCTGGCGAAAGGAGTCTGGCACGGAGGCGCGGCTCATCAGCCGTACTCAGAATGCAAAACGGCACCACCACCACCCCCCTCCCCCCGCGCCCCCCTTCATTTCCCCCTCTTCCGCAACACACACAAACTGTTCTCAGGGAAAAAGTTGACGAAATCTAGAAATTTTCAGCGGATTGGCTCCTCCATCAGAAATTCAGAGACCGGCACCTTTTGAATCGCGTTGGCTCGCTCTTTGAACTTTCCTCTCTTGTTTTCACATCAAAAGACATGAAAGGGGGGCAGCAAAATGCAGGACAGTCAGCGCCCCCTCCTCATACACCCCCCCACCCCTCCAACTCCCTGATTTCTCTCCCATGAGTCGACGGTCTCTGCGGCAGCAGTCGTGCTCTCTCAAGAGAAAAACCAGACCAGTGTTAACAACATAAAGTTTCTCATTCCTCTTGCTGTGATTCCGCTTCTTCTTAGCCGTTAAATCCCGAGCCTCGTGATGAAACGACGTCTTAACGTGTTCACAAATGAGAAGGGTGTAATTAGAGCTGTGCCGTTACTTAAAAAAAAAAAAATCTGGTATTGGTTAAGTTTGGTGATTTGACCAAAAACACTCTTAGAGGAACTCAACATTTGTAGCAACACAACTTCAAAAGAGGAATGTTAAGTTTTTTTTTTGTTTTAAAAAGTGCTGCAAATATTAAAAATTCAGTTTCATTATCATATAATTATTTTGTGCCACTTCAAATCACGGCTTGAAACTTGTGTCGCAATTTAATCAAGCAAAATTAAATAAAATATTAGAAAATCACTTTGATGTTGACTTAATTTCCAGATGAAACTTTCTTTTTTGGATTACCAAATTTCATATATTTAACCAAACTTGCTCCTGTGTAATAATTAAAAGTGTACTTCTTTTATAAATTCCTCATAAATCTGACAAAAATTATTGTATAGTAGGTTTTTTTGTATGAAAGTAACAGATTTTTGTTCTAACTGCAGATTAAAGTCAAATGTCTGACCAATTATAAATGCCAGCAATTTTACAAAATACAACTTTCACCTGTACTGTATGTATTAATGTTGTCTCACAGCATAGAAAAAGGCACCAATTAGTTACTGTGCCTTTTTATATCACACTGTGGTAAAATTGTTTGCCCTAACACCCCACAGAGTTATTCTGATTTTGCTTTTTTGTCACACTTCAAAGTTTTAGGCCATCAAACAACTTATAAGGTAAGAGATAACCTGAGAAAATAAATAAATAAATAAATAAATAAATAAATAAATAAATAATTTCATGTATTAGGGGAAACCAGCTATCCAAAACAACATGTAAAAAAATAACACAATCATGAATTAATTTTGGGTAATTAATTTTTTTTTTTTTTTTTTTTTTTTTTGGAAAGATGATTTCAATCTCAATAGTCACACCCAGACAGGTTTACTGTCAGACTGGAGAAAAACAAAAAATAACTTGTCTCTCAACAGGAAGTACGTTTGCAGTCAGGTCTCGATCTAAAGAACAGATGAGACGCCACAGACATCCATCAGTCCGGAGAGGCTAACAAAGCCACCTGTAAGATGCTGGGGGTCTGGTGACCCAATATTCACAAACAGAAGAAACACGGACAGGTGTTGAACCTCTTCCACCAAAATGATCCTCTTCAGAATTCCTCAGCTAAAGTCTGTGATGGAGACAAGAGGCTGGTCAAAAATGGCGTCCATTTGGAGATCCTGAAGCTTAACCACAGCCACACTGACCAGACAGGTTTGTCTCATTAAATCTTGCCTTGATCTCACTCTTCAGAAAAAAAAAAAGCATCGTATCGATCAATAGTCAGATGACATGGTAGCAATGTAATGTCCTGTTGCTATGTTGCTGCTTTAAGACCTGGATGACTGGCCAGAGGCGGAGAGTCCTGCTCTCTGTCAGAAAATCCTGCAGGAGAACAACCTCTGTTCAGTTATGACCTTAAACTCAAACTCACTGGGGTTATGCAGCAGGACAACGATCACCAGAACACTGACTAATGATTGAATTAATGTACAAATATCATTGCCAGTTGCAGCAACTGCCTTGTAGGTGTTGTTGCCGCACGGCTGAACTAGTCAGTTTTTAGGTTTAGAGGCTCAACTCTATGCGTATCTATGTGATAAGCTTAATAAATTACATTAGCACTGAAAAACCTCATTTTATATCGACTCGTGTTAATATCTGTCACTGATATTAAAATTAGTTTGATGACAAAAAAAAAAAAAAAAAACTAAAAGAAATCTGTTGGGGGCACAAACTTTTTTTTTTCTTTACAACACTATAGCCGTATATTAAAATCCAAATGTCAGTAGCTGTTACAAAGTTGGACCCGGCTGCCTGATGCTGCCTGATTTATGGATTATTGTTTTCTCACACTACAGAACAAAAGCACCAATATGGTTCTAGCCATTGATTTCACCTACTGAAACTGGAAGTATAGGTCGGACTGCTGACTTTTGTCCACTGCGTTCAATGAGCCAGTGGGAGGTTTTACACGAAGAGTGTAAGTTCACATTTATGTTGTCAACCACAATCATTCTCCCCTCATATTACCGATGCTGTTGAATAGAGACTCTGTGAGTATTGAAACGTCAGTCAGGATTTGTCTATAACAGCTAATTTAAACGTTGACTTCACATTTAACTAGTGCATCAAAATCAAAGTTTCCACATGCTTTTTATTCATATCTGAGACATAAAACATCACAGAAAAGTTTTTCTCATTTAGAACTAAAGTTACAGGAAGATATAAAGACACTGAATGTCTTTAAAAATGTACACCTGTCTGTGGTCAGAAAGATTTTGCCAAAGCACTTTTTCTTCTCAAGTAAGCCTGTTTTTATATTAAAAATAAAAAGTCTAAACACTTTAATACTTCAATATCAGTTGACCACGGTCTGCATCCCTTCGCTTCAGCCTAAGCTCTCTATGGTGAGTGTGGTAAACATAGATACTGTGAAAAACATACATGCTTCAAAAATACCTTTGTCTTAATTGTGCTCTGTAATAATATTGTGTATCTGCCTGCTGTTTCTATAACATGAAGATATGGATTAATAAGTTATTAATACTGTATGATCATATTTCTATGCAGGCTGCCACAAATGTCATTAAAGTTTTCAGAGGTATAAACTCCTCATGCCACAATATGCCAAAGCTCAGTCTGCTCTGATGAAGAATCAGTCACTTCAAATTACTTGTGGTTCCAGCACCTGAGGCAGTTTGACCTTTTTTTTTTTTAAATTTATTTACTTTTTAATTCAACTTGTAATTTCTGGCATAATTTGGGAAAATTTGGACAAAACATTTAACTTTAATTCTCCAATTATTAATATGTAAAAACAAACAAACAAACAAAACAACTCAGTAACATTCCAACTAAAACTCACTTTATGTATTATTTTTACTGTACACTGGAAATATTACACCTGTTATACAATATAATAGATGTTTTAAATATTAAAACATCCAACTCTGAATGTCTATGTTTAGGTTTATTAAGAATTCATTTATAGAGTTATTTTGAGATTAACATATTTCCATGTACATATTATGTTATATTTACATTGAAATTACTTATAATATCACACACGTCTTTATTTTTTTATAAATTTTATAGCTCTTATGTTAACATTTGTATTTGCTAATATTTAACACTCTGGATGGAGCCGTTTGTCAACAAATAAGCAAATAAAGTTTATTCTTATGCCCTTAAATGTTTTATCTTACATCCATGGAAAGAGATCCCAACATCAATAAAAAAAAAAAAAAAAAAAAAAAAAAAATTAATAATTGAGGACAGACAGATTAGTTGGTCAGAATTAATTGAATTCAATTGATATGGATGTTTGACAGTATAACCAGATAAAAATCTGAGTTTGGACGTGTTGCGTTGGTTTCAACGCCGGCTGTTGCTACTTTCGGAGCGCATCGCTTTTGTTCCAATTAGAAAAACTCCAGGATGAAGTTCAACCGAGGAGTTTAGGGCAAACATAATTCGATAAGAAGGAGTGGCTTCTGGAAAGCGAATGTCTCCAAAATCTAATCGAGAACCAGAGAGGCCATCAGCATTACTTACCCTTGGAAACGGAGTCATTTAGGTTCACTTTCCATTAAGCAGCTACATGTAATTACGTAATGAATTACAGTTGTTTTTCTGTTTCTTTTCAAACAAACAGCAGACAGTGAAAAACATTCCCGATGCTATAAGTGGTAACGATCGGTTGAGAATGGAAACAGAGAGGACAAACACATTGTGGAGCCGGTAAAGAACTGGGTTAGAGGAGCGATACTGTTAGAATACCGAGTGGCAAAACACCAACATCAACAACAACAACTAAGAAACATGCAAGAGGAACTCAGACTAATTAATTACACTATGTGGCCAAAGGTTGATTTTGAAGGAAGACAACAAATGCATGGCTTTCTAAACCGTCTCGAAAGCAAACACACAACATAAGCAGGCGTGTAAATATGGACAGATGAACAGACTGGGACGGACAACCAATCAACAGACGCACAGAAGCGAGCGCTTCCAAATGAACAGCAGGTAGAAGGAAGAAGTAGTACCTGTCACGGTTTCAGCAGCTCCTGTGTTGTTGCAGCGCAGGCGAGGATGAGAGGAGAGGAGAGAGAGAGAAAAAAAGAAAGGTTGTAAGCAGACAGCCTGCAAGCAGAGAGCCATATTTAATTATTATTATAATTTTTTTTTCATAATTGCAGAAAAAGCAGGTTAAAAATCGATAAAAAATGCAAGTCCTGTTATTGTGCAATTTTTCACCAATTAGGAAACAGAAAAAGAGTTCAGAGTGAGCCGGAGACCGTGTTTGATCTCAATATAATGAGCCACTTTCCCCGCTTTCTTCCAGAAATACAAACACAATGAACCTAAGGACTGATTTTTATTTTATTTATTTTTTTTTGGTTATTTTTTTGTAGTGTTTTTTGTTTTTCACCCCACTACCCTCACCCTGCCTCCACTCATGTCCCTGATTGAGATTCCCGGCCACCCCTACTGTGGAGCAGCCACAGCCTGTAGACTCTCCCCTGGGGACCCGGCAGCGTATCCTGGAGAGAAGGGCACCCATTCGGAACGGTGCCCACCAAAACTGGCATCTCGCAGGGCATGGAAGACTGCCGTGTTCCCAAGTCCCTGCAGCATAGCTCAGGGCTCTGCACCCTCGGGAGCAGCTCCATCATTCATCGCCTGCCATTCATGAAGAACCCCCCCGTCCCCTGCGAACCACCCACGCACGTCCAAATCCTTATATTTCACACACGATGCTTTATTACATTGACACTTCATACGAGATGTTAGCGGTTCTTGACTTAAGACTGTGAGCAATGGGAAGCCGAGCTTAATGCGCGGTAGTATGTTGAAGCGGCAGCTCGTCTCACTTGTCACTGCAGGTATAATAAGGGTGTAAGGTATGACACGTGTCCTTGTTATGTCCTTTTGTGGGTTTTTTCGGTGTGTCAACAAAGTCCCTCTGGACTGAAGAAACTGACAAATCCCACACAATGGGAAAGAAATTCAAAACATCGCCCCTGTGTCTGCTGCAATACTTCAGGAGATGAAGTATTGCCTTTTGTCAAGGTTTAAGTTTGGGTAAAAACTTTACTCCTATTACGTGACACGATGCCATGCAAAAGTATTCGTAGCCCTTGTTTCTTTGTGTATTGTGTCCCTTAAAAACCTCAAATGTCCGTGTATTTTATTATAATTCTACATGGTATTTAACAACTGATCTATGCAAAAAAAAAAAAAAAAAAAAAAAAAAAAAAAAAAAAGCTCAAACTCAGTAAACATAGGATCAAATGTTTACGTGAATTTCTTTATTTTTTTAAACAGATTTCAATTGGATTTAGATCTAGTTATTTTCACAATCTAGTTATTTTCACAATCTAAAGCATGCTGATCAAAAGCGTTCCTTCCTAGATTTGGCTTGTACGTCTACGGTGAACTTGAACCAGAGAACCTTCTTCCACACTGATGTATCTCCAACATGGCATGTAAAAAACTTTAAATAGGACTTCTAATGACTTTGGCTTTGACATGAAGGTTTTATTCATGGTCTCCATGACAAATAGTTGTATTGTCCAAAGTGGTTCTTCCACCTGATGGTAGTAGTGGATCTCTTCCACTGTTCCCATGTTTTGGTGGATGACCTTGTAAATGACAAATGGTACTGGTCTGTACGTGTATACCGCTTTATCTAGTCAAGAGGACCGCAAAGCGCTTTACACTACACCGTCATTCACACACTGATAACTATCAGTGTGTGAATGTATGTGTGCTACAGGAGACAGGAGTGAGGATGCCACTGGACCCTCTAACCAACACGACATGTCTTGGTAGGTATGCAGTTGTGCCATATGCTCAATTTATGGATGACAAATTTGAAGATTACTCTGAGTTGTTTAAAGCTTTGAATGCTGTTTAAACAAAACTTTCTTTTGGGGTGCTGTGGTGGCGCTGGGGTTAAGCCCAGTCCACATATGGAGGCCTTGGTCTTCGACGCTGGGAATCAAACCCGCGTGGCCTTTGCCACATGTCCTACCCCTTCTTTCATTACCCATTTTCCTGTCAAATCACTATCAAACAGAGGCCACAGGAGCCAATAATAAAACCTTAAAAAAAAACTCTAGCTTTTAACTTTCCCACAACTGTATCTGTGACCTGTTTGCCTTGGTCTTGTTTGGTCTCTATTAAACCAAATAGGCCTTCACTGAAGTGCAGCACTGATACTGATATTTGCTTAAACACAAGTGGACCATTGGTGTAATAGATTCTACTGAACTCTATTTAGAGAAACCAGTTTGAAGTCCATGAACAGATTGGAACTAAAGATTTTTATTTGTGAACAAAAGTTCAAACCTAGCAATCCTTTCCCTTCCTCTTCACACTTTCCTGCACTACCTTGTGCTGATCTATCACATTAAATCATGGGGTTTGCGGTTAAAGCATTGTAACTCAACATAATGAGGCCTATGGGTGATCTAGGAAAAAGACACAGAGTGGTTGACAAGTCCGACCCGAGCCTGTCCCAGTCTCACCAGGCCTCGGGACAGCCCATAATGAGGCTTTTGAGCCGCTTTAATTGCCAGGTAATTATAATGTTGTAGCAACATTATGTAAATGACTCATTATCATCTTGTACGTGTAGTCTCTCTGCCCTCTTTTTGTGTTACTCTGTCAGAAGTGTAACACAGAAAAATGTATCACCCAGATATCGGGACACCTCATTGTTTAATCTTGTCAACGGAGACCTATGTCTAAATACAGGAGCTTGAGATGGAGTGGGGGACACCGTCCCTAACCCCTCGGTATGATCCACTTCCTGCCAGTGGCCTCTGAAGGGGGCTATTAATAGCGCTGGTAATGGTTGCGGTCGTGTTGGCCGCCTTCTCCCCTTCGCTCCTCTGTACCTGCAGCACATTAGGTAGAAGTTATGAGGTGCCAGCTCGCCTGTGATTAGATGTCATGGCTGTCGCTCTGCTTAGCCAATACTGATAGACAGATTTCCAGAGGAATGCGTGTGTGACGGCATTCGAGCGAGCGAGCGAGCCCGCTGCACCAATCCGTCAATCACGGCGGATGAAAGCAGGCGCGGCCAGCCCTCCTCCAAATGATGACCGTCCTTGTCTCCTCACCTCTTCTCCCTTCTATCCAAACGTCGCCCCGGTGCTCATCATCCGCCCCGCTCTGCACAATGATCCAGCAGCACCGGCAAAGCAGGACTCCAACAGCAGTTGTGTCGCATTTACCTGCTGGAGCCTGGCTCGTTGCGGGTGTTTTGAAAAGGCCGGATTCTTGGCTTTCGAGTGTCTCCGTTAAACCTGTAGCCATGCCAATGGATCCATAACAATGTGCAGTATTTTTGAGCTGCTGAGGCATGCTAAGATCTCAGGAGAGGAGATGTCGGTGCGGTAAGAGTGGCACATTGCCTCTCTTTTTCTCTCTCTCTCTCTCCCTTCATGACTGCTGCTCGGTAAAAGCAGTGGGGTAACACTAATGAGGCAACATTTCTTCACAGTGCTGGAGTGATGCCTTTGAATTAAAGTTCCCTCTTTCAGGTAAAACCATTCCCTCGCTTATTTATGCTCATGAACTGCGGCGTGTTGCATGTCATCCTGGTGTGTGATTGCGCTGCACAAGAGGACGGATGTTGTATTGCTGGAGCTCTGTGTTGCTTCCCCTGTTGAGAACACCCACATCGGTTACCTTCAAAACTGTGTTTGCACACGTGGTTGGAGGAACGCAGTCTTGCTGCGGGTATCCCACTGTGTTTTCATTTAATTAGAAGGGATCAGAGGTGGGCTTTAAACTTTTTTTTTTTCCCTCTTCAATCGGATCGAGACGTGAGCTCCTGCAGAGTGGACCTAATAAACACGGGCGACTTCAGAGGTCAGCTTGGTTTCACAAAGGAAACTGATCAAACCATAGCAGAACGACCCAAAAAAAAAGAAGAAGAAGAAGAAGGAGGAAAACATTTTCCAGCACTTCAAGTAACTCCTTTTCGGTGCTAATCACTTTAAAGTTTACACTAAAATTTACACTTTCTTTTTAAATTTACAGTGCAAACACCCCTCCCTTGAACGCGTTGATTAGAAGCAGCAAGAAGTAGAAGTCTTTGAGTTTCGACTAACCCTAACCAGAAATGAATAAAATGATACTAAAATAATATCTCATGTAATTAGGAGTAAAAATCAGGCATTTAGTAGACCATAGCTTTAACAAGGATAAACATATGTCACTATAAAAACAAACAAAAAAGAGTGTTTGTCTTAACATTTGAAACAGCACTGAATAAAAATCTCTTCTTGTTGATTTTGCTTTCATTGTAAGGATCAGAGGATGTCTCTCTCCCAGCGAGCTCTGTATAAATTACATCAGGTGATTTCAAAACAATATTATCTTAACTTTACATTAGCAACTTATTACTTCTGCACTTTTAAACACCTTCACAACTAAACAATTTCTTCAAAATTAAAGCCTCCTGCTGCATTCATTCAGGACTTATTCTCTTTTTACATTCCACCTCAATCTGTGTCATTTATGTTTCTTCTTGCAATGTGTGTACTGTTTGGAACTGGTGGCAAAGGCTTTAACTTTATATTTAATGCGCCAGTTTCATGTCAAATTTGGACAATTTGATCACAGCGATTAACAGACGTTAGCTTGGTTAGCTAGCCAACGTTGGTTAGCCTTGGTCAATGTCTAGTTCTTCAAAATATCCCACCTTCCTGTTCGTTTCATTTAAAAATTCAATCAAATGCCTCTTAAACTATTTTATGACCAGGTTGAAAAAACATTACCCCAAAAAACTATAAATTTCATGTATGCAAAGAGTGATCCTTGGAGCCATGGTCACAATGGGGAATTGTGATTATGTACTTAAAGGAAAGGGACCTTAAAGTACATTAAAGTCACACATTTGTTCAACAGTATGAACAAGTATGTGAAATTAAATTCTTTAAAAAGAAAGATCTGGTAAGACAGTGTAGGGGTTTTAATAAAACAGATTAGTTTTTATCTTTGAAATAATATTAATTTCAGTCATAAGGGACTTCACCTAGTCTCAGAAAAA